GCCAATTCAAATTATAAGCAATCTTCTTGTCATTCAAACAGATTTTATCCCATTAAATTCATTTCGTTGTTCTTCATTTCTTCTTTCGTATTCTTCTTTCTTTCTTTTGAAATGAAAACGAAGAAAAAATCGATTCTCTCCTTGTCTCAAAGTTAACAATTCTCAAGAAAATGATCGTTTAAAAAAGTCATAAAACTAATCCATTCATGTCATTTTAATTGGATTTCATACGAGCATAGCTCATCTCTAAGCAATTTGCGCCCGACACCGGAGCTTAAACGATCTACACACCAAACAAGAGAGAGCGAGAGAGAGAGAGAGAGAGAGAGAGAGAGAGAGAGAGAGAGAGAGAGACTTTTCGAATAGCAAAGAAAATTAAGTGGTGATTGCGGCGAGGATTCTGCGAGATCCCGAACAAAAAAACAGGAGAAAAGACTAATGAATCGGTGGCGAGAGAGCATCAACGAACGGAGGAGAAAACAAAACGATATCACGCAGTGCAAAACTCGTATAAAACAAATAAACTCATCGCTTTAAATCGCAACAAAAAGATTATTTTAATATAAATTGATAGTCATAAAAATGCGTATCCCCATAAAATAAATTGTACAGTATACGCGCACGCGGCCACGATGAAGTTGGCACGGCATAACAACACTACGATACGGAGGCAAGAGCAGGCACGATATATATTCAAGATGAGCAGCGACTTTTGATGTAGCCCGTTTTTATATTCTGTTTCGATGATCATCACTTCAACACCATCATTACTGTTTTTATTTGGGAATATAAATTTCAATTAGTCAAATTCAATATGAAGATTGAAAAACGCATACATTTCGCAGTACAAGTCCTGCGGTACCGAATCATTTTCAACCGTCACGATGGACGTACGCGCGCGCAAACCTGCGCTCTTGTGTTTATTAATTAAGTTATTTTCACTCAATCAACATTTTTATTTGAATTGTTAAAAAATACATCATTTTTCGGATTTGCTTCTTGCAATCGAAAGAGCAACACGCCTGTTTCAGTGCTCAGTAATCAATTTGCAATTTTATTTATATGACACTGTTCGCTGCGTCGCACTCTCTGGATCAGCAAATCAGTACCGAAGATTAAAATGTTGAAAGTTGACCAGAATGCACTCGCGTACTAATTACAACATTTCAACATGCACGTAATTTACAGGCGGTCGGTTTTCATTTATTTTGTCTTTTCGCGCTATTCCGAGAAGCGGTATTTTGAAATGAAAAAAAAGAAAAGAAATAAACGAATTGCACAAAAGGGTAAATGACAGACCGCGCGCCACGGCGATTCTCTTTATTCGCCAATTTACCAACTCGTGCATATTATTACTTTGGATTTGAGTTTCTTTTCGGCCGAAACGTTGCATTGCCAACTTCAAATTAATTTATTACATCCGAAGCAATTCGCAGCGATCGAGTTGAGTTGAAAAGAAGACGGGAAAAAAATATATGAACTGCATAAAATCTCATTATGGATTTATTTTCGGGTTTGGGTACAGTCAAAAATAAACATTGTGAGCTCGAGCTGACTCAACCTCTCATTCCATATTCTGTTCTTATTGCAAGCACGTCAATGTTCTGTGTAAAAGTGTAAGATCCGACCCAATTTTTCTTCCGCTTTCAATTTTGAAGGGTTACCTTTGCAGGCCAAACCAAGTAATAAACATTCAAAACAATGAGTTTAAACACCGTTTTCGGATTTAATGAGCATTTATGGCATTTTTTGCATTGTATGATTTCATCCGACAATTTGTTTGGGCTTGAATCGGATGTTGTATTTTTTTTCTGTGTATCAATGTTTACTTCGGTCGAATACAAACAAATCGATTTCGCTGGCAGTTTTTTCCCTGTCGCTTGCAGCAATGGAAAGAATCCACAAAGAAGAAGAAGAAGATTGTCAACGTGAGCAATTTATTTATCAATATAACACAACAGACGGGGGAAATAAAACAACCAAACACGCGGCTCAATGTTAATTGAGTCGTGATGATGGCGGCTGATTTTGCACATACTCGAATTTAAGCCGCTTACGTTTCCACACAATGCACGTTTGTACGCACATGAATACACGCAGTTCATTCGAGAAAAAATAAATAAACGCGTAATAATACGAAAAAATAGGTTACATCAGCAAAAATAGAAATGACCTCAATGAAAACCATTATTTTTGTACAAACACAACTTTTTTGTTTTTATTTTTTTTTTTTTCGAAAGAAAATTCGCTCGAAATGCACTGTTCATCTACATTCTACGACTTTCCACAAAGCGATTCAATTTAATGAAAATGATTTTTCATTCACTCAACACATGACAACTATCACTTTGTTAATTCCTTTGCAACGAAATGAGATCGCAGCTAAAAGGCAGAGACGGAAAGACGATTGCGGTTGCAATTCTCTCTGCGGATGAATGGCATTTAATTTCAAAATAAACAATAGCCAACCACAATAAAAAGTCTCATAAAATACTATAAATCATAGCTGAACACACATCACAACTGGTGGCGTTCGCCGAAGGCGTTATCACTCTCTCAGGTGACGTTTACACGCAACTGCGTCCCGAATACTTCCAATGAGTTGAACGTTTGGAAGAGACACATATGGCCGAATAGATGGGCAACAAAGTTGCAAATTTAGATTGATTACAAAATGTGTTCTCTTGCTTTCAACCATAGTCTTGTGGTCTTAGTTGTCGTTCTTATAATTTCATGCTTGGAAAAAAGTAAACATTGAAAACAATACCAGAGATCTCTCGGTGTGATTTGCCCGAACGAGATCTTTTTCACATACTACGATGTGACCAAGTCGACGAGTCATTCATTCAATGCATCATCGACAGAATTTGCAACGTAATGCTTATTTTCAGCGGTTCGTCAAGTCATACGGCATACTAAGATATGCTTTGATGGATATCTGCTTATTTTCTTGGATATGGCATGTGAAATAAGCAAATAAGATATAAGTATCTATTTACGACGGATTCAAGCTATAAATAGTATGCAATCCTTTACAACATTTACCTAACGATAATTGCGATGCATTCAAATCAATCAAAAGTCAAAAATGGAAGACTCCGATGAGAAACTAAATAAAAGCGAAGCACAGAGAGAAAACGAACATTTCAAAAAGAATGGACATGATTTCATGAATATCAGCGAAAACAGGCCACAAAAAATTGACCGAATAAATTCGTTGCAAAATTACGAAAATCATTATATTCCGAATCGTCTTGAATTTCGGCGCAGCCAAATCCCCGTCCAAAATAAATTATGCAAATTTACTTGAAAAATTGTAAACCAGTTCCAATTAGATACTGCAGCATGCCAATGACGAAATACGCACTTCGAGTGTGTGGTAAACCACTGCGCTGCGTTGCGAGCCATGTATGCGGCGAGAGAAGGGGGAAAAAACTAAAATTTAATTATGGCGATAAAACCGCTGTCCGCCGGCGCCACGAGAGCTCACAACAATAACACGCGTATCTGTGTATATATTGAGCGATTGCACGCGCCGGATCGTTATTTCGCACACAAAATAAGAAATCCTAAATCGCAAATGTCTATTTGGTGTTGTACGCTAAATATCATATTTAAAATATGTAGTCGACAAGCGAAATTACTAAGTTTCACAGTTGTCGTGTTGTCTATTCATCTGCTCTGAAAAATGGTGTACAAGAACTTGGCATGAATTTTTCGGTGTGATCAGGACATGATGTAGAAAATTGAATTTCTAGCCAATCGAGCGAAAGAAGAAAAAAAATACAGAGGAACACAATAATCACGTCTCATCACCCAGTTGAGGCTTAATAACGAGTGTCGCGCCTCGCTCTTTATGTATATGATATTACTAAGCGCCACCAAACCATGCATGAAACTAGTTCACCGCACTCAAAAACATTACATGTAGTGTGTGTGTGTGTGTGTGTGTGTGTGTGTGTGTGTGTACGAGGTGCCCAATCATTAGTGTATTGATGTTGCCATCAAATGCTAAACGCAATTCCGAAAATGAAGTGAATTTATTGAGAGAATCGTCGCAATGCCGACCAATGTATTTTAGGATTCCTTCATTGCTTGGTTCATGTTCCAATGAACTTAAAAAATAAAGAAACAAAAATCAAAACAAACGAATGTAGTAAATAGTACTGAAATTCTTGAATCATTATAAATGAGTCACTAATCTTGTGAAGTATTTGATGTTATCTACAATGTTGTTGATTGCGAAATCGCCATCATGGAAAAAACTACGTAATCTGGTTGTAAATTTCTATCAGTTGACTTTGTTTTGATAACGATGTTTGATGGTGGCCGCAGCAAGCAAAAGTGCACACCAACACATATCGACGAACGATTTGAATTTGTCGTAACTACAGTGTGAAACTATGGAAGTAGAAAAAAAAAACGCATGCGTTGCATTCGCAGTAACGTGCAAATAGAATTCAACAATTGCACAAAAGGAAATGTGAAAACATTTTGGCGCCAGTTTATTAATATACGAACTATTTTATTATGTACTCAGAGTTGCCGCCTTTTTTTTTTCTCGTGACTTTGTGCGTTCGTTTTTTTCTTTCTTTCTTTCTCGGTCTTCTCTCGTTTCATTTGTTTAGTTAATAAGTGCACACACTTTTCAGTTCCAGTAAAAGTCATCGTTTCTCGTTATTGTTTGATTTGTTTTTATTTATTTTTCCTCGTTTGGTCATGTGGAATGCAAAGACAAGGAAAATACCGCAAAATCTTAGTAAGATTCGTATCGAAATATGGACACTCCCCGTACTCTCCGCACAACATTTTAAAGCAAATTCATATGAATGTCTGTCGAATTTTATTGGGAAAAGCAGTGAATATTTAAACTAATACCGAAGAGGAATTAAAGCAAGAGAATCCACCCAGCAGTGCTCAAATATATAAATGGGACTATGCGTAGTCAAATGACAAACATTCTAGCGATTAATTTGATGCGAACTTTTTTGTTGTTGCAGGTAACAAAACGACGACGAATTGTGGCCCGTGTTCAATGCAGAAACATAAAAAGCGAATGTCCAAAACTTGACTGCGATGAGCCTATTCAGGTGCCAGGAAAATGTTGCAAAGTGTGTCCGGGTAAAACAAGCGGTAAGGCTCTAGAGCATCTATTCTATATATTAAATGCATGAAATATGGTTATGGTGCTGTGTTGTCACTTTGGGTGAACGCTCCGTTTTTTTTTTTTACAGTTTTCTCTCACTTCATTTTATGTTTCGATGTACTTTTGGCCTGCTTAACGTCGGTCGTGTTTTCTTTTTCTCTCGCTCTTGTTATTAATACAATTTAAAATTTATTGTATACGTCTGATGATTGATTTAATATGGATTTGTTGCGGCCAAAACGCGCACCATTATCCACTCGAATGCTTCGTAAATAATTTCCACTTTCTCTTTCATCTCTTAGAACGAAAATGTTTTATTTTGTCGTTGAACATTTCATCGCGCGCGCAAACGATTGCGTTCATCATCTCACATTCACAACAGTTTATGAACATTAACAGGCGTCAATACAAATTATATAACATTTACAACGAACACTGTTCGCCTTCCGTGATACAAACACGGGGCCGAATGGACGAAAAAAGAAATAAAAATATATACACACATTTCGATCAAAATGAAGCACACATTTGTGCACAGAAATAGTACGCAATATTTTGGATATTTATTCGGTTGATTTGAGAAAATACATACATATACACAGAATTTACGCGACTTGTTTGTGTTACTCGAATCGCTTGTCTCCTTTTCGTGCTTTCGATCGTCGAATTGAATGACATCAGCAAAAACCTTTCGAAAATGGAAAACAAATCTTTTTGAATCGGAAAATAGCTTGGAAACTATTCACACCACGCGCTATGCAAAATCAAACTCAAATGTTTTATGCGATTTTTAACAGCCAGTTTGCGAAGTCAATACATTAAGCGTGGAAAAATGGCTTAAAGATGAAAATAAAAGAAAAACAATCAGCCAAAACAGAGTGTTTGATGTGTTTTTATTCAACCGGGGGCTTTATGATTTCGATCAACAGCCATACAAATTATACAAAATATAAAGAAAAACGATTCGGATTCTATTTTTTTTTTTTGTATACAAAAACCAAGACGAAAAGTCAAAGAGTCGTTCACAACCTGACGACTATAATCGAACATTCTCCGCCAAACTAAAATGTTGACCGTTTGAGCGAACACATTTGCTGTGTGAAATAATATTCATAAATTGCGTACCAATTATTGTCAATGTTGATTATCATAAAGGTGGTGATTTGGGCGGCGATTTTCTTCGGTTTTCTTTCTCGCTCTCGTCAATGTGCTGATTGACATGAAGAATACTGTCTGTTGCTATCGCCATTAAGGCAAAACGTGTGGTACTGAAATGTGGCAACATTTTCGTGAACGACGCAAAGGCAACGGCAACGGCGAAAAATCCAAGAGATTTGCCGTTTTTTGAATCGTTGGTTAATTTATTGCATTTATGAATATAAAGTCAAAATGGATATAATTTATTTGTTTGAATTAATAAAATCCAACGGAAAATATTTTGACAAATATCATCGTCGAGTCAAACGAAATTAAAACAACAACAAAAACACTCGAATATCTCAAACGAGCCAATCAACAAAAGGCGTGATCGGGACGAAAAGAAATTGTTTTATTTTTGACATTTGATGCCTTTGTCAAAAACACACGGTTGTGTTTAACTGCTCTCTGTGAGATGCAATATTTTTGCAGGGAAAAAATGCGAAATTTTCCATTGCCCAAGCAATAAGCAAATGTAAGAAGCAAACTCCACCATTGGAATATGTCGATGGACCAAGAGAATGAGAGAGAGAGAAAAGGAGAAAAAATACATGCCAGCCATTTCGATTGTATGTCATTTTAATTCATGCTCATACTTTATCATTCTCACGCATTGTTGTTCTATGCGATCAACGATTCTTTTCTTCACTTTAAAATCGATAAAAACGAATGAACGTTTCGGTCTTCGCAATGAGTAAAAAATAGCGGACGGCGGTCGCAAAAGCGCGACGATCAGAAAATAATCAGACACAAAGACGAACATAAATTTTAATAAAATTACTATTCACACTTCGGCGGATGCAGACTTTTCAACGAACGAGATCAACGGCAATGCCGAACTGAGCTAAAGCGACAAAAAAATATATACACACACACACGCAGACAAATCAAGAGATGGTCATGCGTCTTGCATTTTAAAAAGAATAAAAAAATTGTCTATGGAGCAATTGTATTTAAATGGTTTTGATCGAGCTGTTTGGCTTGTGTGAACCAGACGCGTTCGATGCAAATTTGCACGCGCTAACTTTTTATTTTTATTTCTGTCTTTTGCGCGTCTGGATCTGTTTCGGTAATATGCTATGATTGTGCTTGTCTCTCGTTCTCTAGCATTGAGATCGTGCTATTTTCGCTTGTGCTCATTCTGAAGCGTTATAGCTATTATTTTTCATCTTGGCGGCTTTATATCCGAGAAAGAACCTTCTAGCCATGGCTTCGTTTCGCATAAAGGCACACACACACACACACACATCGTGCGATTTCATCGCGGTTATCTTTTGCATAGGATTTTAATTCAATGAAAGTTCAGCTAGTCGTCGCTTCAGCCTATGAGAATCATTATTATCAATCGTTGTGGCAAAATTAAAAACAATCTGACACCCGACCGCACATGTGTCGAGTGTAAAACATAGTATTTATTGTGAGATGTCTTCTGAAACTAAATTTATAATTCCGCTGACCACAAAAAAGAAATTGTAATTCTTTTCGGCTGGTTTTCGTTCGCAATCCGATGCGGCTGGGTAAATTGTCAGTAGCCGAAAAAAATGGCTTGCAAAATATCTCGGCCAAGCTCGATTTATTACACTTATCTAGTTTCAAACAGCGAGCTTTTATGTGTTGGCTCCAGGTTAGAGTGACAGCGCTATAACGAAACAAAATTTCTCGCGCCACCGTCGATTGAAAGCAGAAACAAACGGCACACAGAAAGAGTTGAACGAGCGAGGCTCTTTCTAATTGAAACGCAATAAAATTGTGGATTGTTAGCGTTCAGTTTTCTGCATCATGCGATTTGTGCGTGGAGATTGGCGTGTATTGTGTCACTCCTACATGACTATCGTCTATCTCGCGTAAGGCGATTTTCAAATGAAAGATATTTCCTAATTGGAAATAAGTAAAAGTGTTCACTTCACTTTTCATCCGGCATCAAAATCACACGAGCACACATTCTGTTGTTCTAGACGACACTTTGGCTTGTGATCGTTTGAGTGTGTATGTTGTTGCCAGTCTAGTGAGCGCCGCGCGCGATTTGCGCCCGATAATTTCTCGGAAAAGTGGCTGGTGGGCGTTATTTAAATGAAGATAAAGACATATATGATCACAATGAATGCAACGAAAAAGTGGGTTTTATAAACAAACGTTGTTCATCTATTGTATGTCGCCACCGCCAAGCGAACACACTGCCACTGTTCGTTTCTTCGCTTTTGTTGTGTCTTCCATACACTTCAAAACTGAGAGAAAGATTCTTTTTGTGTTCACACATAAAATAAGTTTAACCTCTAACCACGCATGCGATACGCTTCTATTTACCATTTGGAAATTTACGGCGTGCGTGTGTGCATGTGTGTTTTGATTTTGTTTATTTTGGACGATCAGAGGAGATTTTGCGTGGATCTATTTGGCATAACAAGACTGGAATACTGGTAACTGGCTGCTTGTTTCGATTTGCAGCCAGTGACTCATTTCTCGCAGCGATCTTAACGGCTCATCGCCGTAAATCATGGCTAAGCATTTCGTCTAGAAACATACAGCAGTTGCGACAAGATTTCGAGCATTTCACACAACCTGGCTATTTTCCAAAATCTGTTGAAATAAATCAATTTTTTCGGTTTTGCTTTCTTCAAGCTCGTCCTCTTTTCTTGAGTATTTTTTTTTTCTTCGCTCCCATCTCGATTAAGAGTTTTTATATTATATTTTGCGTATTTTCTACAAGCCAATTTTTTTCGTTGACTTTTTAATTAATTCTTATTTCGAGTTGTAAAATGGCATACGCGATCGTGCTGAACGCAATCCGTTCGCAATTTATTTCTGTCAAAAGCAATTCAATAAAATGTTTTTGGGGAAATTTCGGTCCGCTTCTTGTTCTTCTACTTACATTTTTTTTTTATATAAACAAGATCCGAACGTGTTTATTTCATATTTGAATGTAACACTTTTTTATAATATTTTTTGACAGTACAGTTCAATGCGAGATGAGGACTCTATCAAAACAACTCCCATCAAAATCATTCGCGTTCTTTTCAAATAAAGTGACGGTCGCATAGAAAATGGGAAGAACTTTTCACATGCAAAATATTTGAAACAGTTTTTTTCCTGCCAAAACTTGCAAAAAAAAAAAATCACAAGGAGTGAAAAAAATACAAACAGAGAATATGGAGCAAACTCATTTTCGAAGATGAGTGTTGATTTATCTGTCGTGTGCTTGAAATTATGATGCGCCGCAACATATTTTCTAGAAAAAAAATATGAATTGGCTACGTTGATATGTTCTTTTGATAAAATTACTTTGCGATAATTCAGCCATTTACGAAATTCGATAGAGTTCCAAATCGATCACTGAAAAGTTCCAATGGACACTGTGACTATGACTCATTCGCCTTGGCACAATGTCGTGTCGTACATGCACAAATTTGATCGCTTTCAATGTTAATTTCATGCCGAATAAAAGAACCAAATTAAAACATGCGCTTTAAAATTCATCAAGCGAATATGACCTCTTTTTTATTCGAACTCAAATCTCCTTCTGCTTGTCGGATGCATGGTCGAGAAAAAAAATAAATATGCACAAACAATGCAAATTAAGAATAAATTACGTGCTTGTGTAGCGCAACGGCAAAGCACAGAATGATCCATTCGGCACAATTATGCAAATCACACAAAAATCCGATGGGGGAATAATGATGATTTTTGTAATAGTTCTCGACACAATGGCCCGATGATATGACTCTTTAAATGGATTAATGTCTGATTCTCTTTCGATTAACCAGAATTGCCGGCTCTCTTGTTCTCTTGCTTTCTTTTGTGTTCGACTTTTTTTATTCGCTCAGCGCAAAATCCACTTCAAAGATGAAGATAATAGTGTGAAACCGTGAGTCGCATGAAATGGGCACAATAAACGGACATTTATATGATACACACAAGCGTATCGCATTTACATGTACATACGTGTAATGAATTCACTGATCGACATGAATTCAACAGAAATCTGTTCTTATTAGCCTGCATTGTATCGATTGAATTTTACATCAATGTTTAATCTCGTTGAAAATTGTTGTTAAATTCATGAATGAGTGGTATGAGTATATGCGTTTAACCATCTTCCAAAAATTCCCCTGCTTCATAAATTCTAGTGTACACATTCTTTGGCATTTCCTACCCTTTGTTGCAATGTTCCCCGAAACCCGGCAATTATTCCTCAGGAATGCCATTCAAATGTTTTTCCAAGATTTTACAACAAACGAATGGGAAAATGTTGGAAACAGCAAGAAAAATCCTGGTTCCGAAATTTTACGATTAAAACAATTTTACGGTTTTCTCTCCATCTCTCTCTCTCTCATTATGAGTCAACTTGTCTAGAACCTGATCTCTGTTGAAATGTTAAATAAAAACAGATAATAACGTGCTTAAAACCAGAAAAATCCGTCATAAGAATGAAAACCGATAATTTCGAATTAAAAAATAACAACGAGAACAATGGCCAATGGTTGTGTTGTAATTTTTTGTGCTATTCTACCGCCGGGAAGTCTGCGCCGGCTCATCCGATGCGGCATAAACTGAAGCGAAGGCACGTATTTGAGTGCGAAAAGGATCGCACGGTGCACGTTTAAAAGCAAAATGCATTAGGTATTTGTTCATATTTGACAATAGAGTGTAATGGAATGGAATTTCTATTGTTTAACGATTGCGGAAGCAACCTAAGATGAGGGAACAATAAAAAAAAAAGTTGAAGAAGAAAAATAAAACACCTTGTTCGTTAGAATTTTTTTTTCCGTTCCTGCCGATTGTGTGAATTAGTTTCTAACCGAGCCATTCGATGTGCTACGCGTGTGGGTGATTCAATAGTTGCAGCGAAAACTAGGTGTTATGTACGCACATTTGAGTGTCCAAGTCTTTGCACTTACCGCCTTTGTTATATATTTGACACAGCAAACGTGTCATCGGCTCTTTCGGCATTGCTTTTGTACAATGTACAACACAATTCAAAGAATCTCCGAATGTAATCAAAAACAGACTTAAAATGCTTCTTGCTTTCATTTCAGATTTTACAAGCCAAGAGAAATCACATTCATTCACAAAAAAAAAAAGAAGAATGAAATGTTTGTTGAATGAAAAAGATTTTTGTTTTGTTGCCGATTTGTCTCCCAAAATGCCAATCAATATTCTGGGAAAAAAATGATGTGTCATTTTTACACGTCCAAACTGGAATTATTTTGTTTTCTTTCGTTTATTTATCAATCGTTATGGGACAGTCAAAAATAGTCACAGAGTGGCAGCCATTTTTTTTATTTTCGGATAGATATTCCGTCGATGATTCATTCAATCTGCCGCTTTTCAAAAAAAAACATTTTCAAATCATATGAAACTCGAGTCATCTATCAGATTGAAATAGTTTATACCCGAAGACTCATTTTTACCTGTTGAAAATGTTCAAGTGTGTATCCCTTCCACCGATTACAATGAAAAAAACATGAAAATTGAGGCAATTGTCTGCTTAAAGCGCTCGATTAATATCTTTTTCTTGACTTGATGAGCACTTGAGATCAAGGTAGGCCTAGAGGTAGACGTTTCGTCGTGTATATCGTGCATGTGTGCATATATATATGAATTCACTATGTTTCGTGCGTTCAAGGACCGACGAATTTGGGCACAACCAGATTCTATCAGTGTGCTGTTGCAACACAAACAATGCTGAAAAGTAAAACATGATTCAATGAATTGGATCTCATTTTTTTTTTCTTCGTTTCTGAAAGAAAAAAGGTCGCTTTTTTATTTCGATTGTGTGCAGAAGAAATCAATTGCATGAAAATATGGCGTGTCTGTGATGTGCGAGTATTGCATTTATTGTATTGTACCCACTTTAATCTCCCCGGGCCACACATAATTTTGTACTCGTTCCGTGTACCTGATGTCGTTTTAAATTGAAGAATTAACTGTCTGCAGACAGTGGCGCTTTAGCATAATTCATACACACGAGCAACTATCATGTAGAGAGTTAAAGCTGAGAGGCAGCGGCAGCAGCAGCAACTAGGCGAATGTTTTATGTATCATATTTAGTCAGCAAAACCAATAAATACGTTTTACTTGCTTTATTACAGATCAACAAGAACTAGCTCAAGATGTACCAGCGCAGCAAACCCAAGAAGAGGAAGAAAAAAATATGAAACGTAAGCATTTTTCTTACTTTTAGATTATCTCATTGTCTGTGTTTCTGCAGCGCGTCTCCTTTTGTTTTTTTGCCTCTTTTTCTTAACTTTGCGAATGCAATTGCTAATGAGACTCTTTCATCTTATTTTATGATAATGCCAATAGATTTCGGTGCTCTGCTAACCACACGCACATCGTATTTCTTGAATCGTGAGGAAATTAAAACGCCTTACGTTACCAACAACCCATTAAATATTATTGCAACCGGTCGTTTTACGTTCCAGAAGAAGAATTTGTATTTCTCGTTTTATATATCGGAACGAGCGACCCGTCCACGTGCCATCCAATTCATCGACGAAACTGGTCATATTCTCGAAGAAATCATTTTGGTTCAATCGAGCAATATATTCAGCGTGTACCAGAATGCAACCGGAAAAGTGTGCGGTGTATGGCGTCGCGTTCCACGCGAATATCGACGTCAATTACGCGACGAACAGATGAGTATTGTTCTGTTATGGGGTGGCAAAACTCAAGCCGAACTAGCGTTGGCTGGCAAGATTTCCAAGTATCCAGCGCTGTCGACGGAATTGTTCACATCATTGCTTGAGGCACCGTCCGACAAAGGTGTTGTTTTGAAAGAGTTAAGTGGAGCCGGTGGAACAGCCGTCGTGTCGACAAGCAGTGGCTCCACGTCGTCAATTCACTTAACATTAGTTTTAAATGGTTTGTTCCATAATGAAAGTGCTGATGTTCCACTGAATATTCGTCTCGAAATTGCCGACAAAAAGCAAAAAGTCCTCCAGGATACGATCGTTGTGAAAAAATCCAACTATGATTACAATGTTATTGAATTCTCATCGCCTGTAACAACGCAAGACTTGCGATCGCTAACTCGTGGTAAATTGAATTTGATTGTTGAATCACGAAAACGGCCAGAAATCCGCATTCAAGGGCCAATTTTGACGAGGGCTACGTGTGAAGTTTATCAAACTGTTTTGGCACCAACATCGACCGAATCAAAGACGACGAGTAGTGGACTGGCTTGGGCTTATATGAATCGTGACGGAGCTCTTGTTTACAACATTCACACTGACGACTTAAAACTGCAAGAAAGTCCACTCATCACATTAGTTGACGATAGTGTTAAACGAAAAACTGACTTAGAGGATCTAACACCATCTCTAAGTTTCAATAATGCCGTTGGAGTTCTTGACAAATTGGGCCCACGTGTCTTGGAACCATTGTACGGAAACAATTTGGCCATTAATATTGCGACGGAAAATGAACAAAATTTGATTCGAGGTCGTTTGATCGGAAGACAATTGGCTGATGCACGTGATTCAGGCGAACCGATAATTTTGAAACGCTTAGATTCGAATGCGCCAGCACATCTCGTCGGTATGGCATGGGTGGCAGTTGACAATGAATGCACGCTACATTATGAAATCACTTTGAACTCCTACAATGCCCAACAAGGTCTCGAATTGTACTTGGAAGATAAGCCGCTGGAGGCGCCAAATGCACCAGTTACCACAAAAATTTTAGAAGAATTCAAAGGCGAGTATCTTGAAGGATTTCTCATGGGAATGTCACCGCGTGAATTATCAAAACTCGAATCGGACGTATGCTATTTGCAAATAAAATCGAAAGAGAGTGGTACACATTTGTTGAAGGGTAAATTGAAGTCGGTCAAAATTCCGAACCAATGCATGATGCCAGGAGTCGATTCGAACAGAATCCCATCGGATTCGAGCCCCAACGATCATACCGATAACAATGTGCCGCTCGATCCAAAATGTTATCACTCAGGACGATTCTATGATGAAGGTGAACAATGGCAAAATGGAATGGAAACATGCAGTATGTGCGCTTGCATTTATGGCCGCGTGAAATGTGACAAACTTGAATGCCCTCCATTGGAGTGCAAAGACGGCGAACTTCGACCAGCACGTAAAGGTGAATGCTGCCCATCTTGTTCGTGTAAGTATAAGTATTTTGCTTTTTCACATTCGTTTGTATTTCAAAATGTGATCCGCCAAAATATTGATCATCATTTCTATTTCCTTTAATACAGCACTCAAAGATATGGGAATCGACTCGAATGTAACTCGCGGTTGTCGCTTGGGCGATCAATTCCATCCGGCTGGCTCGTCATGGTATCCTTATCTTCCACCAAATGGTTTCGATCGTTGCGCCACTTGCACATGCAATCCAATTACGTTAGAAGTGAAATGTCCACGCGTTCAATGTCCACCACTCACATGCTCCGAGAAAATTGCATATCGTCCAAGTAAAAGTGCTTGTTGCCGAAAGTGTCCAGAGGTAAGAAGAATGAATCTAATAAATACGGACATAAATTGAATTAGTTATGAAGTGTAAAATATTTTATCTTCTGAACAATTTCCTATTTTTCAGATAAAAGAAGTGCCAGTTGAAAAGAAGGCACATGATCCTGAACTGATGGGCGATCAAGGTTCAAAAAGAGGTACAATCAAGTCAACGGAAGAAATTTTGGCAAATGGAGGCTGTAAAATTGCGACCACAGTCCATGAAAATGGCCACGAATGGCATCCGATTCTCCCATCGCATGGTGAACAGAAATGTGTGAAATGCCGATGCAAAGTAAGTCTACGTAGATAGTAATTTGGTTGAATGATACAGAACGATTGATATGATCATAGTATGCATTGTATTTAACTTTAATGCAATCAAGTGATTTAAGTGAGTCATGACATTTGTAAATGGGAAAAACGTGTAAAAAGAGGCAAATTAAAATAAAGTCAGTAGTTCTATATCATTCAACAGTATCTCTTTCAGACATTGTTTCTTATACGTTGGCCCATTCATAAAAAAAAAGTGTCCGTAATATATCTAATGAAATATTATTCTATCATTCTCAGGATTCAACTATAAAATGCGATCGTAAGCGTTGTGCACGATCGGTGTGCAATAAAAGTGCGGCACGGAATCGTTTGAATGCATTATTGCCAGGCCAACATCAAGAATCAACTGTAGATGACTGTTGCTCAGCCCATTGTCGACGCTCCAGACGGCATCCCAACCAAAAGCAGCGCATGCAACGAGAACGCAACGAGAGACAACAAAAACCATCTGGCAATTCAAAGAGTTGAACGTGCCGCCATCAAGTCATCGATCATATTTACTAAGCCAAATTTTTCAGAAGACAGCAAGCAATTTTCAAATTAAAAATTGAACCAATCTGAACAAAACTAAATTACAGGATTCGCTGTAGAACAAAACAAAAACCAAGTCAATTCGATTTAGGCAACATTTTCATCATCTTTTCATTAAGAGCATACATATGCAACACAATACAAACAAACAAACAAACAATTCACTTCACAAAAACTCACACCAAACAAAAACTATATTTTTTAGTTGTCCTGTTTTTTTTTTAGCTTATAGAAGAAAACTACAGTGAGAAACACTTGTGTGTGTTTTTTTTTTCTTGAAAAAAAAAAACGAAATGCAATTGGACAAACGATATGAACATATTGATGCATGATGATAGTTATTATGCTTTAAAATAATAAATAATTATTTGAAAATTTAATTGATGTATTGTGGCCGTTTGCTAAGACCCGACACGAACACACACCCAGTCCCTTTAGCCGAAACTTTTAGTCGATTTTTTTCATCTAAATTAGATGATCAAGATTTTTCATACGCCGCCTCCTATGCACTTTATTTATTCCAAAATATGGACCGGCAAAAAGGAGATTTTTGTATTGTGCGCGGTTGCTAGTCCAACGGTTCAGTTTTGAATAGTGATAGTGCATTTTAAGCAGGGCACACGCGCTAAATAAACCAAGAACAATAAGCAATAAGAACAAATTACACTCTATTTAACATCCATTTTCTTTGTTTTTTGTTTTGCATTAAAATTTAAAGCAAGATAAGAATGTATAACTCACACACGTGTAATATAGGATTTTCTATTTAAAATAAAAGAAATGTGTAAGTGTTGGACCAGAAGGGAAAATTGACAGAGATTTAAATGATGAGCCACTTGTCATATCTTTGAATCAGAAAGAAGTCGTATAATTTGTCACGTAAATTTTGTACTTGATCAAAATACCAAAAAAAAAAAAAATCGTCAATAAAATATGTATTTGTTTCTTTTCTTATTATGTTTTTGGAAAAACAATTAATTCGATCCCATTTTCTTGTTTCCTCTCACTGATTCGGAATGAATATCATTTATCATTTCAATTCATTTTATTCGACTTGGAACTCGATTAGATTTTTAGAGCCGAATTCAATTTTATATCTGAAGATTTTAGTCATTTTTGCGTGCGGAGACGGTCAAAACGATTCACTGTTGTGATCAATACGAGGATAAAATCGATTTTTTTGAATGTAGCATATAATAATTGTGTTTCATTTAATTTATAATATTTTAAACAGCAAAAGTGCGCTTTAGTACTTACTAATAAAGTTATCATTTTTTTTTTTGCGAAAAACAACCAAAAAACCAACAGTCTTTTCATTATTATTTCGGATGATTACTGATTTGCTTGCAAAAGTAGCGTGAACCGCGACATCATTCAAAGTATTTGTTTTTTAACTCCATAAAAAACGTAGATGATGAGCCAAAGTATAGTTGACACAACAAAGGAGAAACATTAGAACATTAATAAGATACAAGTGCGCGAAGTGTGGACGACGATGTTGTTGATGATTTGATGCCATATACAAAACGAACCCGATAACTGTGTGCGTATTTTGGTTTTGCATCTCACTTCATTCCAAATAATAAATTCACCCTGTTCATGTGTGAAAAAAAATACGGTAGATACGACAAGCGGCACACACTGTTTTACAGTTACATATACTTCGACTCTATCCTATTATGATTATTGGCAATACAGAGAAATCAATTGAATATTGAATGTTGCCATGTGATGAAAACACAAATATGAATAATTAATGATTGAAATGGTGTACACTCCACATTCCAGTCCGATATAAACAACAAACACATTTATGAAAACAATCGCATTATAGATAGAGTCACTATCCGTGTGTTTATGTTGAGTCGGTTTCTTCAGTTTAATTGAATATATTTCAAAACTGCATTAAAGGCAACACAAACATAAAATGAGTTACTAACGATGTCTTCATATCAATTCATTTGGAAGCTTTGTTCCACACTAGTCGATTCAGTAGCATACATTTGGGCGCATTTCTTCAACTTGGATTTATTCGTATGTACGATCGCATCTTCTTCTTCCTACCTTCAGTCGTAATCACTTAGTTAGGTATAATGATAATTCTTGAGTTTTACGTCAAAGAAAAAGATGAGATTATTCATTTGGTTGATAAAGTTTGGTTTCGATGTGGATATTGAATACAGTCACCTTCTGGCTGATATTATTTGAATTAACTTTGAATTGGGAGTTATGATGACCGACATTCATATCTTTCTTTAAACAACAACAAAGAATTACCGCTATTTGGAATTTGCTTAAGAACAGTGTGACCATGAAACCATGTGACCATGATGAATTCGGCGCTTGATTGCCCACCAACGAAAACCTGTTTTTCTGCATACATCATGCGATTGTATTCCTCAGCGCACACAAACTCCCGTATAAGTGCGCAGAAGTGATGTGTGATATGTGACGAAAATAGTTTGGACATGTGAGTATGCAAATATTCGTAGTGCTGGTAGTGCGTTACCGTATGCATGTTTGGAATATGAATGAATGAAATGCCTGCGTCACCGTCGATTATGATAAGATTGTAAGATTTGTGTTCATTTTATCTAATCAATAGAGTTTTATTGGATTAGATTGTACATAAAAGACCGTTTGATCAAAATGAGAGACAGTTCCAAATGTAATGTTTCTCATAGAAAAAGTACCGTTATCACCGGGTTGTAAAGAGAGAAGAACATAGAATAAAGGTCGGCGATTTGATCGCTAAGTTTGCGGGCTTTCATTTCGAATAGATTAAAATCAACGCAATACAAAAATTGTTCGACTCTTGTTTTCAGTGACCAAACAATGGGATTATCGTATGACACTCGTGGATATAACTTGCGATAATGATTAATGTTACGATCGGTGTAAACTGTGCCGAGTCGTCACTTGGCACAACTTATGTAAAAAGAAAAAACCGCGTAAGACTTTTCTCTTAAATATATTTGTCATTGGCAGCCAAACACGATCTCAGCACATATAAACAAATACAAATGTATCCACACACAAAACGAAAACACAAGCAACAGCAACAGCAGCAGCAGAAACACAGAGAAAAACGACATAAAACTAAATGGTTGGACTAAAGTCTGGTTTACTGACTGAATTATCAGTTTTCATAATAGCGCGTACAGTTTTGTATATTCTATCGCATACATCGAATGATCATGAGTGAGTTGTGTTGCCGGCGCGAGCGCGCCTGATGCGTATATGTGTTGTTGTGCCTTTTAAGTGGTATTTGTTTCGCTGCGATATTTGTAAGAGGCTCATTTCTTTCGTCTTTGCTTGTGCCTTCTTCGTTCTTTAACATACAACCAATCGTGCATTGACTATTATTCGGTGTTTGCCTTCAGTTTGGTTGTGATTTTCGTTTGCTTCGGACGTGCGTTGTATTGCACTCGCCGTTGGCTCGAGTTTGTCCGGTTTGTGATGAAGCATAAGTTTTTTTTTTTCAAGCGATCAAGTCTGGAAATATCGTGGCAATTTTCTTCGTCTCTTGACAACTGTACCAAGTGAGTCGTTTGCAACAGAAAAAAATAGACAATCGTGCGCGTGTTGGTGATCTGGTTTCAGAATGAGGATATTTATCAAACAACCGTCGACTCGATCATTGATCTCGCTGCTCAACAGCGGCATCTCTGCAAATTGATCGCTCAAGAGACGCCGGCATTCTATTGTTACGTGATCGTATTGTTAAGACATTGATATTGCATCGATTTTTTGCGCAACTATGTTTTAACACAAATTTTTGTGAATAGTTAATTATTTTATTGTGTCAATAAACTACAAGTCATCACAAATAATTGTACTTGTCAGTGAATGGTTTCGCTTTGATGAGCCCGAATTTTTCTATTTCAACGAACGAAAGGTGGTTAAAGGTAACAGTTTCAACTTGAATTCATTCAACAGCAACAACAAAAAATATATATAGTTTACAACATGCTGAGAATTTGTGCGAATAGTGATGGCATATACGATGATTTAGTGGTAGGGACGATGTGAACACAAAACGATATTGTGTGACAATGGTGTATGTTTAACTATAAATGGAATTTGTTTTCGGATCCACATTCAAAAGGAACAATAGAAGTCGCCTGTGTATAGCATTCTATCAAGTGGACTGGTGAGTCTGTTTATGGAATAATTTGCCCTTTCTTTTCAACAGTGCCGAATATTTTTTTCAAAAAACCATATTTTTTCTGGCTTGTCGAGAGTTTCGACTCGAGAGTCGGCGCATATTGAATTGATCAAATGTGTTTTTTTTTGTTGGGTGCATTTCAACCAATTCACTTGATTAAAAATTCTAAAGTCGTCCACGGCGTCGTTTGAAAGGGTTTCCACCACCGAAAGCAAATAAAAAATTCATGCTATTATCTTTTCCGTTAAATCACTAAATTCCAAGAAAAAGTGCAGTTAGTCGTGGCATGAAAGAAACGAAAAACTAGCAACCAGACATCAAACCAGTATGTTCGTCAAAATATTTCTTATATGCATTTATTTGAGAGTCCATGCGCCTGGTAATAACGATGAAGTCAAAAATTTAATTCAAAACCCAGAATGATTTGTATAGATATTTTATCAGCAACATCACTTAGTTCTGGCGAAAAAAAGGGAGAATAAATCAAGCAGCAACAAGTAGGCAAAAATCTTGGTGTTTTAGCCAATTGCCAATGTGTCGATCAGTTTATTGTTCACTTCATTAATATTTCTGTATCTTTTGTACTCTCTCACCCAGTTCATTTGCTTCTCGCATAATAATCGGTTCGCTTAAGACGCGCTTTGATATTACGACAATAAAGCAGCGTCTAATTGAATAAACGCAAATTCATGAGATCAAGGCGCTAAACAAACAAAACCGCGAGAAAAAGAGAACGACAATGAAAAAGAAAGGAAAAATTAGTAGTTCATTTGGAAGTCGAGAATGAACTGTAAAACGAGAAAAATAAATTCTTGTGAAACATGCAGATGTGTTTGTTTCCAAGCTGCTAACTCTCCAATCTCAGTCAATATACCAAAATGCCAAATGTATGTTAAAATATTTCAAGTGGCTCCATTTTCGTTTGAATTGTGATGTTTTACGATCAATACTTTTCGACGAACATATGTGCGTTACCATCGCTCATTCCTTCATTCTTTGCTTCTTCCACTCTTCTACAAACAAATCTCAGACATGCCTAACCGATTTGCATTGAAAATGCATTCGATATGGTAAATTTTTCTTTTCACAAGCAACAAATTCTATTTCTTCTCACTCATTTTCTGCCTACATATATATGAGATTGTATAATGTGAAACAATATTTTACTGCAAATTCCAGTGAATTAACGATTTAAGAATCGGCACGTTCCTAAATAGACAAAGGTCAATAATGCAATAACTAATCGGAAGTGTACTGGAATGCAACACTCAAAGTTGCAATCATACAAAGCAATTATTTCATTATCATCGTCGTGAAAACCCAAAAAAATACCGAAAAGTTGATCTTGCGTGTTCAAGCAATTGAATTATTTGTTATCACTCTTGATACGGCTTGATCACGATATATTTTTCGTTTTCAATGCAATTTATCTGCTTGTGGGCAAACAAAAGCATTTGCTTTTATACCAAAAAGTTTTTGCGCGTATGTGTGACGCACATAGTCATTTCATGCAAAATTCAATGTTTGATTGTTTGTCTTTGAAATGACTATTTGATAAGTACACACAAACACATACACACAAACACATATTCTCATTCGCAAACAAGTGCCCGGGCATTGTTGTTCATACACTTTGTCGACTTAACGATGAAGAAACGATCGTAAAATGGTCGAAGCATAAAAATTGCTCGAATCAAGGCTCACGAACTCTCAATTCACGTAATTATTGTGATATTTTGCAACGAATAGCACAAATTCTCTACCTACTCATTTTTTTCTTTGCATGCGGCGGCACCTCTGAATGAAAAAAGTGTTAGATTTCCCATAATCACAGTAAATTAGATGCAGCAAACATTTTAACTGTCTCATGCATACAGTTGAGAATAATTTTTGAATCGACCTTGGAGCTGTAATTTAAGGTAGATATGCTATACAACAACAAAAGCGTCTTCAACCAATTTTAGCGCAAACCCAACGGTTGCACTAATGATTGCAAAGACGCAACTAATGATGCGACACTATGTTGATAAGCATTAAAGTAATTTACAGCAAATTCATTATAATGTCATGAGCATCAATTAACTTCAGATTCGGTCTGAAGCGATGTAAATTGGTTTTTGAGCGTGCGATGTTTCAGCACGAGACAATGTGTCAAAATCCGGTGAAATTTCATGTGTTGTGACGTCGGAACGTGCGACCGACGTCGCCACTTAAAATTGACCAAACGGCTATTTTTAACCGAATTAGCAAAACGAAAACAAAAAAAAAATTGATTGCTTGCGTGTGATTCAGCTTTGCCTTCACCTCCTACGAAGCCGGAGACAATCTATTTTGTCATTTATAATCAATTCATACACAACGAATCTTTCCGTTTGTCTCCGCACAAAACGTATCAATAAATCACATTGCAAATGTTTATGTTTATGCAAGCCCTTGCCGACCAATAATGAAAACAAAAACGAACATATCTTAAATTGCAATCAAATGATTCATTAAATGACCATCAACGAATTTATATTTCACTTATCTTTCGAGAACAAGATTATTATCTACTGAAGGTGCTTATCTCTGTTTTATTTTTTAGTTCACCAAAAATAGCTTGTTTAGCTTTATGGCAATTTAACCAATTACTTTCGATGCGCTTATTAAGAATAATATACTCTCTTGAACGGCGCATATCCACATCAAAAACATTTTGCGACGGAGTTTTGCTTAATTCAAAAGTGACTTGTTGTCCCAAGCTTTTGTTCTTTCGTTTAATAAAGATGCATTTTATTTCAACCATTTCAATTAGGATTAATACCACGTCTTATTAATTTCAATTTCTAATATAATCTGCGCGTAGCGGCATATTTCCTTGAACGATTTGCTTTATAATTAGCAACTTCAACCGCAATTTGTACGTTTGAGCAAGCAAATTATCTGTTTTTTTCTTCATATTTTCGCTATGCCCATTTTAATCGCTGTGAAATTAAAGAAAATCTGAGACTTATTGCAAAAGCAGATTTAATTTATATTAAAAGCAAATATAGGTGCGATTTACTTACGTGTAGGCTTTTTGAGTCATTGTTCATAAATTCACGTTCTCGCGCAATTGCATTCAAAACTCTTCGTCACCTAATTCAGAAAGTGTCTAATTCAAACCCTCCCCTCCCCTATTGCGTCAACATTTCTGTTTTTGGATCACAGTTTATTCGTAACGTAAAAAATTCTAATGAAATACGATTTATGGTTGTTATCTTATTGTTGGTTACAATATGTGTAGCGATGACAGTCGTAATGAGCCAAGTCGTCGAGTTTCATGGACAATTTTTATTTTATTTCCACCAATGATTCCCGAATGGGATGACATTGACTTGAAATATTCTTTTCGAAATCGTCTGTTTTGCCGCATTTCCGGAGAGATCTCACTTCTTTTGATTGTGATGAGGACGGTTTCATTTTTGGAACCGAACTAAAAATAACTTTATAACAGCTCCAAAATGAATGCTATATAACAAACGAAAAATGATTCACTACATCTGAGCCAACCAAAATAGTTGGGCAAACGAAATTCGACGAGAGATTAGTATCAACATTCCTCTTGGGCGATAAGTGAATTTGTCGTGAAAGCCAACGAGCATTTCCGCAACATCAGTGACTGAATTGCCGGCCGACATGCGATATTAAATAATAGTTTCACAAATGGATATCACAAAACATGAACCCGAATGTCTTATAGTTGTTAACCTGCAATTTTCTTTCATAAATTCATCTCAACATTATTCTCATGACGACCGAATCACGGATACACTCACTGATTTTAATGCAACGATGCGGTGATTGAAACAATTTCTTTCTGGAATAGTTTCATTCATTCGAATGAAATTCACAAATGAAACTCGAATCCGCTACGAACGCATCGAAGCACAACAATCGCTTTACGTAGCTCAGTATTCTGTCGTTTGCCTCGTCACGATAACATCTTATAAATTAAGTCATTTGTCTACTCTCGCATTGACATCATTCATTTCAAAATCATCAATAATGCTAAATCAAAATATTTGACATATTTATTAACGTAATCTTCATTTTCAATTTACAGATAGATGATTTGAATATTAAGTTGTTATCGATTGTCTTCATTTTAATTTTCTTCTTCAATATGCTGCACTACTTTGGCTTAGGCGAATATCATCACATACATAGAATGTCTTCAAGGAAGAGTACCGTCTTTATGTTCTTTGGGATCATCATCGGGCTGTGTTTCGGTATTCTATTCAAGAACTATCGAGCCTTAGAATTAGTAAAAAAATGTAGTCTGCGACCGAATACGGGTGAGTGACGGCCAATTTTTGATAAATGAAATTGAGGGAGTTTCTTTTAGGAAACATAGCCAAGGAAAAGTGGAAGTGTTTGACTTACTTTATTTTCCATACTGTTTAGGCCCTTTGGAAATGATAAATTTACAGCAAAGTGATACAATGGCAACGTCCCAAAGCAATTTAGTTTTCGTCGGTGTAATGACTGCCAAGGAATTTTTAACAGATCGCGCCAAAGCTGTGTATGACACATGGGGGAAAGAAGTACCAGGCCGCTTGGCATTTTTCAGCTCAGAAGGCTCATATTCTGATCATATACCTGTAATCGCACTAAAAGGAGTCGATGATCGATATCCGCCACAAAAGAAATCATGTAAATTGAAATTATTCATATCAATTAGATTGACGAAATTAATTTCATTGTTTTCTTATAATAAAAATAATTCAATTTTCGTTCATTATTTCGATAGTTCGAATGTTGTATTTCATGTACGAGCACTATATCGATCGCTTCGAATGGTTCGCAAGAGCCGATGACGATGTTTATATCAATACTGAAAAATTGGAGAAATTTCTGCGATCAATCGACAGTACGAAACCACAATTCATCGGTAAGAATATTTACGAGAATAAGACGCCACTATGAGTTTTATTTGCTTAGATCACATCACATCAAATATGGCTTTGAGCGATTTTATATGCAAATATGGCCTCTATAAATTTTTAATCCGAAATGCATGACGCAATTCCATACATGGTTTTATTGATTAAATTGTCTCTCGAACCACTTGTCTGTATGGTGTGCAGGTCAAGCTGGGCGCGGAAATTCTGAGGAATTTGGCTTACTGTCGTTGGAATTCGATGAGAACTTTTGTATGGGTGGACCAGGTGTCATTATGTCACGTGAAACACTACGACGTGTGGCGCCACACATTCCAACATGCCTAAAAAACTTGTACAGCACTCATGAAGACGTCGAAGTGGGACGATGTGTCCAGAAATTTGCCGGCATTCCATGCACTTGGAATTATGAGGTAGTCTATTTTCTATTGCATTTCCTACCTACCCAATTTTTTTTTACATTAGCTTTTCTAATTTCACTGTAAAAAAAAAAAAACAAAATTATCTATGATCACTTTTATTACAGATGCAATCCATTCTCCATCACAATTCTAGTGGACAAAATGCATTCACTGGAAACTTGAAAACGAAAGAAATTCACAATGCCATTACGCTGCACCCCGTAAAACGTGCGCCCCTAATGTACCGATTGCATAGGTAAATGATTAAATAAAATCAATAATTTGAAAACTTCCGTCATCCATGTCGTTTCCATATTATCTTTAGCTATATGCAGGGTCTCCGGGCACAGCAATTACGACAAGAGACTCTGTCTCTGCACCGAGATATTGCAATGATGAAATCTATTTTATTATCAAAATCTGACGATAATGAAATCGATTTCGCAATGAAATTCGAAGGTTCAGATTTATCGATTTTCCCATCGAATGAACCGGATGACGTGAATTTTCTCGGTGATCACGATATTCTGAGTACTAAGCCACATTTGAATAAGGCAAAATCAACCACAAGGGATGAACTATTAACATGGAGCTTTATCGCACGGAGTCTGTATTCAGGTGAACAATTGAATCCAAAGAAGAAATTAGACTCGTCGCTAAGAGAAGGCTTGGATGATGTTATCATCGAAGTGATGGATTATATAAATAATTTCTCGCGGCAAAGAGGCCGTGTAATCGACTTCAAAGAAATACTCTATGGATATAGCCGCTTGAATTCATTGTATGGCCAGGACTTGGTACTAGATTTGCTGTTGATCTACAAAAAATATCGAGGTAAAAAAATGACGGTGCCGGTTCGGCGTCACTTATACCTCCAACGTGCCTTCACCGACTGCTTTGTGCGAGAATTGAAGCCAGATCGGATTTATAATGAGCAAACCGAAACGACAAGTAAGCAATGATAACAGTTATCATAACACTATTGGACGTTGGAATCAAATTTAAATTTTTTACAACAAATTTCCTTTCTTTCATCAATTTGCTTTTCACAGAATTTGGAAATTTAACGTCTTTGTTGTCGTTGAAGATGAAAAACATTTGGAAATCAAGTGTTGATCGAATATCAGATACTTTGTCGCTGAACAGCACCTTTCAAAACGGTAGATCGAAAATTTTGCCATCCAAAAAGAGTAGAACTGATCAGACCAAATCGACCATAGTATTTGTCTTGCCATTGGCGGGTCGATTCCAAACGCTGCAACGGTTCCTGAAAAATTATGAGCGCGTATGTTTACAGCATCCGGACACTCAAACCGAATTACTTGTTGTATTATTTGACGAAACGAACTCGAATCTGAAGCCATTTTACGCTGAAATGGAAAAACTTAAGGACAAATACACGACGTCTCTGATAAATCACATTACGATTGAAGGAAATTTTTCTCGTGGAGTTGCTTTGAACCAAGCGACACATTCCGAACACATTCAACCGAACGACATCATTTTTTTCATTGATGTTGACATTACATTCAAGCGAAAATCAATTGAACGTATTCGCTTAAATACCAAAATGCACAAACAAGTGTATCTGCCAATAGTTTTCAGCGAATATAATCCGGCAGTTTGGTCAAGGACACAGTACGATGGCTCTTCCGACTTTGATGATAATGAACCGCTGAATTTGGGCCATAACCGCGGTTACTTCCGTCAATTTGGCTATGGAATTTGTGCAATTTTCAAAGCGGATATTTTGCACCCGGACATCAATGGATTTAATGATGATATTACGGGCTGGGGCTTAGAAGATGTAAAATTCTTAGAAAAACTCGTAAAGTTGCATCAGACTCCAGTAACTTCCTTTCTGAACGGATCAAACACAAATCATGGAAATTCAACTGCAGTGCCATTATCATTAAGCTTAAGTGTATTCCGAGCGGTAGATCCGACATTGGTGCACATTTATCACGACATCTACTGCGATAAATCACTTAGCGAATCGCAATATGGAATGTGCGTGGGAACAAAAGCCAATACACTTGGCAGTTACAAACACATCGAATCCATTTTCATGAACAATCAAACCATAATCGATTATATGCGCTCGATTATCACTGTTAGATAGGAATGTGACTAGTATACATTTTAACAAATTGAACCGATTTTAGTTTTCAACATGTGTGATATTCGATATTTAATAGCGTCATAGCCACGTTTAATTTAAGAAAGAACATTCTATGTGGATATTATGAATCTCTCTGTCTTAAGCTCCTCCTACTTGCTTCTAATTTTTGATCCGTACGTTATTCACGTTTTAAGACATGTAACACGCTCAAGCTGTTAGCTGGGAAATACCTCAATAATTAAGTGTAAAAAATATCAAATTAAGAAGATGAGATGCATTTTTCAAAAATAAAAATGATATTTTATTACCATAACATATGCAATATTTTAGAATATTTATTTTTGGCCGCTTGTTCGAGTGCCGGATATGGAACGTTGTACGTTAGTGAAATATAGATTTCCTTTTGCTTGTTAAACCATTGTGCTCCGCACCATTGTAAAAGTAATTGATTGGCTTAAAAGTGAACGATGCTACGAATGCTCTTGCCTTCGTGCATGACATGGAATGCTTCGTTGATTTCATCCAACTTGAAATTGTGAGTGACGAATTCATCGATCAACAAATCCTTTTGCATGTAGGCATCAACTAATTTTGGCACACTTTCAACGCTCTTCCATCCTCCGAACGCTGTTCCCTTCCATGTACGACCAGTAACCAATTGGAATGGACGTGTGCTGATTTCGGCTCCAGCTGATGCAACGCCAATAATCACCGAAACACCCCATCCTTTGTGAGTGGCTTCCTATGGAATAAAATTCATGTAATAAATTACATAAATAAAAACTAGTACAATTGTACTCACAAGAGCGGCACGCATAGTCGCAACATTGCCGATGCACTCGAATGAGTAATCGATACCTCCGTCAGTTTTTTCCACCAGTACTTGTTGAATAGGCTTGTCGAAATCTTTCGGATTCAAGAATTCGGTACAACCAAACTGTTCAGCTGTCTTGAACTTGTCGGGATTTATATCAATGCCGATAACACGACTTGCACCAGCTTTCTTACAACCTAAGGCAACTGCTAATCCCACTGCACCCAAACCAAAGATAGCGCAAGTGCTACCAGCTTCAACCTATGGAACAGAATTAAAAATTTAATTTATATGTATGTTATAAATCAATAAATGAAAAAAAAAAATGATCTGCTTGAAATCAATTCTACCTTGGCTGTGTTGAGAGCAGCACCATATCCAGTTGAAATTCCACAACCCAAAAGGCAAACCTTGTCCAATGGAGCGGATGGTTCGACTTTGGTAAGCGAAATAGCCGCAACAACGGTGTATTCAGAGAATGTTGATGTGCCCATGAAGTGGAACAACTTTTGACCTTTGCATGTGAAACGGCTGGTTCCGTCTGGCATTACTCCACGTCCTTGGGTATCACGAATGCGAGAGCATAAATTGGTCTTTGGGCTAAGGCAGAACTTGCATGTTTTGCACTGTGGAATATATAAAGGTACGACATGATCGCCGACAGCAAAGTCAGTAACTCCACTGCCTACGCTTTCGACGATACCACCACCTATATATAGATGACAAAGGTTTTATTTATTGTCATTACTCATTAGTGTTATTATTACTGTTGTTGTCAGTTAAATAGTTCATACCTTCGTGGCCAAGTACGACCGGAAAAATACCTTCTGGGTCGAGACCACCAAGGGTGTAAGCATCGGTATGACAAACGCCAGTGGCAACTACCTTGATACGAACTTCACCTTCCTTTGGCGGAGCCACTTCGATTGTTTCAATTGATAATGATTCTTTAGCTGCCCAGGCAACAGCGGCTTTACATTCAATTACCTATTGCGAAAAGATAATAAAAGGAATTAGTTGGTTCGAATACATTAACAGAAGAATGTAACATGCATTAGATAACTGCTAATCTATGAATTTGTGATAAGTAAGAAATTTCCAACTAAAACATGATTACAAATAGAGAAACTGAAACTATTTCACTTTTTGAATACATGAATCAACAAATAAATAAGTTTTTGGAATTTTTTTAATAAAGGAAAATGAAAATAGAAATGAATAATCTAAAGTACCTTTCCAGCAGTAGCCATGATAAAAAAAAAAATTTTAGACGCAAATAAAAGTGTGAGAATATCAACGAAAGAAAACAGCCGGTGATAGAGGTAGCGCGTCAATGACAAGATGTGAAGTTTCAACGACACATTTTTGTCCCTACCGAAAACTCTGAAGCGATGATGTTCCCAACAACAACTCAATACAAAATATTCAGCATAATTTCGTTGAGTTGTTTTTTTTCTTCAAATGTGATGATTTAATTTTTTCATGAACATTTTTCGTTTTATTATTTAAAAAAAAAATCTTAAATATTTTCATATATTTTGTGTCTTTCATTTACATCTTGTGTAGAAAGCCCGAGAAAATGACAGTTCATTTTGACAGTTTACCAAACGAAGTGAGTTGTGACTAACACCAAACGATTAAATTCTAGTGGGAAACATATGATTGAAATTCATTGAATAAAAGTAAATTAACTAAAAACTTGCACATTTTTATCCAATCGGTAAAGTTGTATCTTGTGAAAACTTGATATTTTCGATAGAATATATACCATTACCAAAATGGAAGTAGACGATAATGATTCACCAACTCAAACACTGGAGCATTTTGTGGAATTAGCGCAGGTGGAGCGAATGATTGCTGATTTAAAGACCGATCACGACACCAATTTTGAGAAATCGTACGAAACATTCAGTAATATTTTGAGTCGATATCAAGAGCAGCCACACCTCCTGAATCCACATTTACCAGGCCTTATTGAGCAACTATTGAATTACATCCGTACGAAAGATGTGCCGGCAACATTATTCCATGCTTCATTCAAGTATCTATATCAATTCGCTAAAGTTCGAACGTATAAAATTCTGCTGAAGTTTTTGCCGCATGAAATATCCGACTTGGACTTTGTCCTGAATTCTCTTGAGCAACAAGATGTCGCTGAAACCAAAACATGGGAAACTCGTTACATGCTCTTAATATGGTTGTCAATATTGGTTTTGAATCCATTCGAATTGTCACGCTTCGATGGATTTGTCAGTAGCGGTGGAGATGGATCCGAAAAACCATTGAGTAAAATGGACCGTATTTTCAATTTATGCAAATTAAATACCAACAAAGGTGACACATGCTCAAATGTCGCAGCATTTTTGACCGCAAAATTTTTGATACGAATCGACATCAAAGACAAATACCTACCACAATACCTAGAATGGATTTGTGAATCGAATGATGAAGTACAGTTTGGAAAATTGGCCGCCATTTCGAATATTCTGAAATATGGCAAACGGGAGGATTTGCTGGTTCACGCTCCAAAGCTTTTGGCGTGGTTGCTTTCGTGTGATTACAAATCGGGGAATGATTTCCTAAAGAATAAATATTTCGTGAAAATCATACAACGACTTGGATTAGTGTTGTTGAAACCTCGACTCGCCACATGGCGCTATCAACGTGGCTCAAGATCTTTGACAGCCAAATTGGCTGCAAGCGCAAAGGATGATATTGAGTTTAAGCATGATGAAATTACTGCAGGTACATGCTATAACAATTTTCAATCAAATTTTGCCATTTTTCACAATGCTGTGAATCTTCCTCTGAGATGACGTAATTTATCAGAAAGAAATGTTTTTTTTTTATTCTTCAGAGGAAAACGAAGACGAAATAGAAGTTTCATCTGAAATTGAAGAAATAATCGAAGAGTTGCTGCAAGCAATGCGAAACCCAAGCAGTGATATCAGATGGTCCGCCGCTAAAGGTATCGGTCGTATTACCAATCGTTTGCCAAAAGAGTTTGGTGACGAAGTCGTTGGTTCAGTAATTGAAATTTTGAACCCATTTGAACCACATGAAGCTTGGCATGGAGCTTGTTTATCTATCGCAGAATTGGGTACAATAACATTTTAACATTTTGAGTGTTCAAACACAATTTTCATAAAATTAACAAATTAATATTGAATATTGTCGATCTAACTCGTTTTTTTTTTGTAGCCAAACGTGGACTATTGCTACCATACCGCCTTGAAATAATGGTTCCTTTGCTACTTCAAGCTCTTGTGTACGATGAACTGAACGGCTATATGTCGGTTGGACAGCATATCCGAGATGCAGCTTGTTACATGTGCTGGGCATTTGCTAGAGCATACGAACCATCCGTTTTGAAAGATTTTGTTAGTAAAATTGCAACCGGTCTATTGATCACCACGGTATTCGATCGTGAGATAAACTGTCGTCGTGCCGCGTCAGCAGCATTTCAAGAAAGTGTGGGACGACTTCGCACATTTCCACACGGAATTGATATTCTAACCAAAGCTGACTTCTTTTCGGTTGGATTAAGGACAAATTCCTATTTGGAAATTAGTGATTATATTGCACAGTATCCCGAATATTCGCGGCCATTGATTGGTGAGCAACGTTTTCATCGCTATCTCTCTCTCTCTCTCTCTCCCTTATCTCTTCTATTCATGCAATTATTCCTCCACAGATCATCTAGTTGATCGTAAAGTAAACCACTGGGATGCAGCCATTAGGGAATTAACATCAAAAACATTGAACAAACTAACTGCTCGTGAACCAGAGTACATGGCAAATGATGTTTTACCGAAATTGTTTGCAAAAACATCATCAATCGACATAAATGAACGACACGGAACGGTCTTAGCAATCGGAGAAATTATCGCCAAGTTGAAAGTATTAGAAAATGAAAGTGATCGCCAGAACATGTTTATTAATGATTCGTTAACCGAGCAATTAAATGGGCTAATTTCGGCCTTCCAACAACGAGATCAATTTCGAGGTTAGGATTCATTTTGATTTGAAAAGTGTCACAATAATATTTCAGATTAGAAAGAAAAACACATTTTAACGTTTATTTTAATCGTCAATTTGTTATTAGGCATGAGTGGTGAAATGATGTTCCAATGCTGTTGTGACTTCATAAGAAATTGCAGTGCATCAAAAATTGAGGTTTCGGCTGAGTGCATAGGTATACCTTGCTATATAGCTAAAATCAGACTTTTAAATCAAAATTACTTATAATATTTTAGCTCATTTCTTTACAAACAATTTTATTTTATTAATTCGCTTATTTCAGACTCTTGGCAGTTGGTAATCGATTCATCGTTGACTAAAAACTCGGCTCCCGTCCGTGATGCGGCAGTTGCCGCTATATCAGAGCTCTGTTCAACATATTACGCCAAATCAAGTTCAATCGACAGAAACAATCAGCTTTTGGATAAGTATTTGACCGCTTCGAAAGAAGAGTCGTGGGAATTTGTACGGATGGGATATGTTTCAGCGATAGGAGTACTACCGGATTTCATTTTAAAATTAAAACCGAAGGAGGTTTTGCTAGTGCTAATTTCACATTCACTAACTACAGCCGATCGCCAGTTATTCTTGCATGAAGAGATACAAGATCATAACATTGTGGCAAATTGGGTAAAACAATTTATTTGTTCTGTTCATTACAATTCCATTGAATGTCACATTTTAAATTATATTTTCATTACATTTTTCATTGTGATCTATCTTCCACAAGGCTGAGGCAAGAAAGGAAAGCGTAAAAGCACTTGCAAATGTGGTCTCGTCAATTGGATTCATTGAAATAAGTGAAATGTTTTTAAATGAAGATGAGAAAGCATTAGATACGATATTTCATTGTCTATTTCTGGCGCTAAATGAGTACACCATTGACAACAGGGGTGACATCGGAGCATGGGTTCGAGAAGCATCGATGAATGCCTTGTATAAGTTAATTGTAACAATGCCACACGATTTGTTGGATGAGGCTAAAGTACACGCAGTCGTGTGCGGGCTACTTCAGCAAGCTGTGGAAAAAATCGATCGAACTAGAGCATTGGCAGGGAAACTATTTTGTAAAATCATTCACAAGTAAGTATCTTCGTTTGGCCTAAGATAATCAAGACTGTAAACTGATTTTTTAATTTCGTTAATATATCCAGTGATCCACCCATTCCTTACATCAAACACCATGACTTCATCAAAACTGTGTTCCCCGAAGACTATTCGAATATTTTGTGGCTTTATGCAGCACACACTTTTCCACTGTTTTGCAATCTATTGCAGTTGTCAGAGTATACTGAACGCTTGATGATTGGTTTAATAGCCAGTATTGGGCAGCTAACGGAATCTTTGGTAACAAATTGATTATTCTTATACTGTTATGAAATTAAATAATCATTAGAATAAAATCCTTCACACAACTTATACTTTTATTTTGCCCAATTCAAGGTCAAATATTCATCTGAAGCCCTTATCGATTTCTTGCGTCAAAATTTGGAGCACCAAAAGATGATTTGTAATGTAGTCATCGATATTTTCAATAAAAATATGCTGAACGAGCGTATTTCGTGTCCATTACTCAATTTCTTGAATATTATCATTGGCTCTGGAATAATTGATGATATAGTTTTGGATCCGGCGTCAACATTTAGCTCAGAAGTATATCGTTTGACAAAGCTGGAAATTAAAGGTCACAAAAAACTATACAAACTTGTTTCCAGTATAAATGTTTTCTGTCAATTGATACAGGTAAAATTGGTTGGAAAAATATTAGAAATAAAAAAATACACACACTGAATCATGTTTCGTTTCCAATTCAGGTGCCTGAACTCAGTACGAAAGTGTTGAGCACGTTGTCGATATTCCTGGGTTTACCACATGTGCATGTAAGGAAAACAACTGCCACTAAGCTATACGAAGCATTAATTTTGCATGCTGATGCTTGCGGCATATCCGAGGAGAATTTAGATGAAGTAATTTCAACGAAATCAACTTTTCATTTTTGAATAGGATTTATTTAAATGATTTTATTGATATTTCAGATAATGAACTGTCTGTCAGAAACTGACTGGGGTCAATCTATCACTGAAATACGTCTAATAAGAAACAATTTATGCACATTGATGAACATAAAGCCACCAGTTACGTCAGCCGGTGCAAAATAAATTAAAATATTATCAATAAATGAACCTATCCATTCAAATCCATTTGTGGATAGCACATTTAACCTGAAAAATTAATCACATGCTTAATGTAATACTCGAAAAATGCGCATTTACGATAATAATTTACGATAATTTTATTTCATTCCTCATAATTATACAATGGATTAATATTTTTTATTTGTTTATCAATAAATTACATACAAAATTCTTGCGATTTTTTCTTTTGCGTCACTTGATCGTTCGGTCGAATTCCAGTGTTTTCACAACGATCTTCATTAAAGTTTCAACAAACGCCCATCACACAAAATATAACCACGATTGAAATTCCGACGAACGAATGACTGACAAGAAAAATACTTGGATGAGTTGTTTGCAATATGGAAGATAATTAGGACGATACTTTAGCGAAATAAAAAAAAATGTATACGCATATAGTGCTACAATAATAGTCATTTCTCTATTAATCTTTGACTGTGTACTTTCTTCCATCAACTTCTGATCACGTACCCTTGCCTATTTCACTTGATTCACTTTTTAAACATTGTGTATAAATGATGTGAATATTTTTGAATTCAATATATCGGTCGAATAATTCGACTCGAATCACACTGATTGTGAGCATTTCCTTTTTCATAAATCAACTTGGCTTAGCATAAAAGTCCATTCTACATTTTATGCGCAACAATTCCAGGCGTTTTATTTCATGCGACTGCTCTTGTTTTGTCTATTGTAGCAGTAAATGAATTTAATTTCTCATGTTTTCATTAGGGCAGTGCGTTTTGCTATGTGCTTTTGATATTTCGATATAAATTCTAGTTTATTTTTGTTTGTCTGGCCTGCGGTTGATTGTATAAAAAGTACAAAAACGTTTCGTATGTTATTCTAAGCAAAGAAAAACATATATATGTGTGTGCTGGTTTGATAGAACTATTATACTTGCTCAACGTTGCATTGGGCAGCCTTATATTTTGGTAAACAGGCTTTACTTTCTTTTTCTCTCTCTATAGTATTTTGGTGTTTCTTTTTTTTGCAACTTGGATTTTTATTCTATTGCTATTAATGAATCATCACTGATGATAGACTCAAGATCTAAGCTCCTATAACAGTAAAGTCTACAGATATTATTAAAAGGAATAAAAAAAAAGAAGTAGAGAAAAAAGTGTCATAAAATGAAACGAGATTTTGAATACAACTAATATGAATATGTGTTATGCTTCTAATTACGTGAAATTGTTTTCTTTCATTTTTTTTTTCTTCTTTCGTTCGTACGTTCTTGCTTGCAATAAGTTTGGAAATGTTTCATTCGTTTAATTATTATTTAATATATATGAAATGAATTCGATTCAATTGTTAAATGATACAATTACACACATCGAAGAAATTGTTACTTAGATCTGGCTAAGAAGCATTAATGATGATTGCCAAATTAGTATTCCCAGTGTGTGGCAGAATCCCTGCCTTCGTCCAACAATTTAAATGTTCCATTCTTAGTGGCGCCCAAGTAACGTCCGCTTGTTGATCTGTCAAGTGGAAAATATGCTTAGTTTATCATTCCCAAATGAAAAATAATTTGGATCAGGATGGAATAAAATTAAACTAAATTCTTACCGAATGCAGATGCGTGTGGGTTCTCTCAATTCCAAATAAAATCCATCGCGAGGGGCATCTCCGTCGACACTGATGCCGTCACCTTCTAAACGCCAGTATTTACCATTTTGACCTATAAATTGAAGAAAGGATTAAATTGACCCTTTTACGCATTCATTCATTCATTCACGCGATTATTCGTTGTAATCATGTAATAATGCTGAACCCCTCAGAGAGAGATTTAATCAGTGTAAATAATTACCTTTGAAGTAAACAACGCCCTTTGCAGATCGTTCCACTAAAATGGTTTCGTATGTTGCTTTGTTGCATTCCAATTTCGTTGTGCTGTGAGTGCGAAGGCCGACGAATCCTTGCTCACATTTCAACACTAAAATTGGACGATTGATTAAATAGAAATAGAATTTGGCGATGTCTTCAATCGATTCGGATGTTGCGAATAAATGGCCGGAACGTTTCGTTGCTAAGAATTTTCCATTGTTGGCACGGAATGATACCGAACCATCACCATGCCATACCATTTCAAATAAAGCATCGGCACATCGACGATTTCCAGTTGCTTGGATGCCGGCTCCGTTTGACAAACACCAATAGCGATCCTATTGATAGTAATTTTTTTCATTAATTTTTTATTTTATTTCTAAAAGTAAGTATCATCAGTTGTTTAAATTTTCATATATTTTGCAACTTACTTGTGTGGTGCGCAATGCCCAACGTCGTGCTGACCAATCATATTCCAATTGGAATGTTTCATCGGTGCCGATTTCGTCTTGATTGGCAGTTACATCAACACCCTGTTTGACGGACACATATTTTAAGTTCAATGCGGCAACCAACGATGCCTGTGGCAATGAATCTTCTAATGAGAATAATTCATCGCGTGTAACCGTTTGCGAACGTGTTTTCAATACAGCTTTCGATCCGATGGGCGACAAGTATGAGCCATGGCTGAAAATGTGGCAAAAAATCGATTAAAATTAAATAGATTCACAAGTAAATTGCATTTAATCGCTCACCGATCGCGTAAAGCAAGATGGCCGCTATGATATTCGGCGCTGAATAGGCACTCTGGAGTGCAATACAATTCCAATTTTCCGTTCGAATTCAAATACCTGTTAATCGAAATCAATGCAGTAAGAAGAGCAACAACAACTATGAGCAAGATAACAAAATTCCGTTCACACGAAAAACATAAATTAGTTTGCTGTCTGACATGCTGCTGCGCACCATTATCAATTTCTCCATTGTGAGTGATGACGCCGTTAATTAAGATTTAATTCACATGGATTTACATCACATTGTATACTTAATTGCATTGAACAATTTCTTTTCCGTTTTTCGTTTGCTACCGTCGCTTTGTGTGTCCCATATTTTTTGTTTTGTTTTGTACAACATGCCAAAGTTAATATTAGAAAACGCGAAGCGGATTAACGAATGAAATCGTAAACATAATCAGCGATGGAAGTGGAATTAAAAAAAAAACTATAGTCGACGATGTTCACTTGGCAACAGCATCTCATCGCAATTTAGCTATTGTTTTCTATGAATGGTGCAAACTTACCGATTGTTGCATGTATGCAATGCATATCGCCCTCCTTCATCCAGACGGAATTCAAGTGTGAATAAGGTGTCCTCTCCCCATGGAATGTTTGCATCAACATGAATCTCGTCTTGTGATTCCGAGAGATGTGCGAATCGCTTGCGACCAATAGAGCGCAAATTCACCTGAAACAATATCGATGCGGTATTCATTATTGTTGGCCATTCACTTTACGCTCTCTGGTATTCTCCCTCATTTAAACTAGACTATTGACTAGATTACGCTAGACGTTTTATCTCTCATTAATTGGCTTGCAAATCAGTCGGGAATGAAAAATCAAAGCTGAAAAATGACCACCAATCCTTGTGAGAAACCAATTAACTTGATCTTGTGTCTGGATCGTAGTTTGCTAACCGTTTATAATCGATAGAGAAAAAAAACCGTTAAGATTCGCGCTCTTTTCCGTTTACCTGTGGCCTCGCAGCCAAATGAACACTCCAGAACTCGCCATTCGACGGTGCTTTCGCTGTGCAAGTCAGCTTATCGGGTGTTCCGCCCAAGAAATAGCCGCGAGATTCATTTCGTAATGCCCACCGACCGGAACCATCTTCCGCTATGCTGATTTGGAATCGGCTTCCCGCATCACGTTCTTCTGATTCACATAACACATTACCAAATGAATCAACCGACAGGTACTTGCCCAAATGTGATCGCAAATAAATGATGCCTGCAAGAAAAAAATTATTGTAATGTTTAATTTAGGCGCTGTGAGTAAACTGACCGTTCAAATATAATTTTAGTTTTGCTACTGCGCCAACAAATCAACATATATTCAATTGAATGCTTGTCTTGATCATTTCATCGTGTATTTGGCAAAATTACTACTTCAGATAAATGCATAGAAGTTGCAATATCCCTTTGGATAAATGGTAGTTTTGCGATTATCCGTGTCCATTGCTGGCTAAACTATACTTGGAACTTTATACCATCGAAAAAAACTCATTAAGTGGTTAAAATATACAATAACTGTAAAATTACTGACATAAATAGAGAAACCAATAAATCGTTTACAAAATCGCATGAGTCAAATTTATGTCATTTTGCAATGATTGCATAAATACCGGTTGACCGCTAACAATGGATTTTTAGCTCCAAATAAAGCAATATCTATTCAATTTATAGCACAAAATCGAGATTGTGCTCTTGTCATTTGTGATGACTAAATCGAAACGAGTCTTGACTCCGAATTCTATATTCTATTGCCAACTGTGTTGAATAGAAAGGCGTCAATTGATTTTTTTTCTCCATTTCAAACAAAAATGGTAAGCCTTTTAATTGTTTTCATTTTATGGCTGAACTTCTAGAGCAAGGAAAAATATAAAAGAATGAAATGAAATAAAAACGTATTGCCTGACAATAAAACTGATCTTAATGGGATGTAATAAAAAATTAATTGTACTACATTTTCCATTTGGACAAACTGTAGATATATTAGCGACACAATAATGGCACTAATGATCGCAAATTCATTAGCCATCCAATGTGAAATGTCTTTATAAGCGTTGTTATGAATTCATATTCAAATGACTGCACATGAATCTATTTGCTGGTTGCTTTCGCCAGCTGATTTTCACACATATGTTCGTTTAATTTTAATTGGCAATCATGGTGAAAATAGCCAGATTTTAGGAGAAAATTAATCAATGTACAAGCGTCTAAACATCAACCATATCATTGACTCGCTGGGTTTTTGTGTGGAAACATGTCATTTTCTCGTGAGGCGCAACGTGAAAACAAATAAACAGACTGGAAACGGCTTACGGTGCACAAGCAAACAGAAAAAAAAGTATGAGAAGAAAGAAAAACGAGTGTAAAAACATCAAAAGTAATTTCAAGTAGCCATCGACAACGACCGCAACCATTATATGAGTTTCTTTTCATTTTGTTCGGCATTTCTCTTATCTCCTGTGCTCGAGCAAATTCATTTCCGTTAGCGTTGTGATATTTCTTTCTGACGATGATGATGGAACGGAATCAGCAATGATATTCGCTTTATCCAAACGAATTTCAACTTTTTCAAGCACTTTTTCACATCATTTCTGTTGTGTTTCAGATTGGGTCGATTTGAAATCCAATAAATTATCACGAAACGGCTGTCAAAATAAAAGCTTTGTTGATTTTCAAGCAGCATATTTCTTTTCTTCAGTTTGGAAATGATTATTTAATATTGAAAAACTAGTGGCAGTAGCGTAAAACAACTAACTAATAAATGGTTACAGGCAAGTTAAATGTGAAAAACAACATCGCACGTCGACTACCCAATTAGGTATTTTATGGCTTTATATCTGTCAAAAATGAAAATATCATTTAGAAAATGCCTTAAAAGCGATTTTCGTTTTCAATACTTTTTTGCACCATTGGCAATGAAATGCAGGCATACACATTTTTGGTGCTGTAATTAGATCACGAAGCGTGAATCATGGAGTCATTTTGCTTTTTCGAACGAAAACTTTTCATTTTGGGCCTGAATGTTGTTCAAAATTGTTTGCGTTTTTTTATTGATTTTGATTTATGACAGAAACACTTACTTTCGCCGGTGCTGGATGGTTCGAGCGTCCACATCTGTTTCTTCTTGAGACTGGCTCCGTTTGCATTCAACTTATAGCCAAATGTTTCGGCTGTCATGTATTTATGTTGGCCATTGATCAAACCGATGGTCCACCAGCCCTTTTGTTGATTGTGAGACAGCATATCGCCATTTGTATGGATGAACTCAAAACTTGAACCGTTCATATTGTCTGAATTATTTTCTCGCGTCTTGTTGTGTAATTTCTCTAAATTCCCAATCCTCTGCTATATCCACTTTACCACGTCGAACCTGCTTCGAAAGAGAAAGCAATAATTTAATTACAACTTAAATCTCGATAAGAAAAACTAATTGAAATCGCTATTTTGCATTTTCATGCAAATCGTTTGCTCGATCTATTTGACTTAATAATGTTATTTCTATAGCAAAATTTCTTAAGCAAATAAATTCGGGGATTTTTACTTTTTTATTTCATCGAGCTGCCGCTTTCTGGTGATTGAATAAATAAAATTATGCATAACAAAAGCTTGATACATGAGCAAACACATGAACGACGAATAGAACTGATATTTCGACTAAATCCAATTAAACTCGAACTATCTATCGATTTGTTTGGAAAACGTTTCATCTCTCTCTCGTCTTTTTTCATTCCGATTTTTGAGAAAGAAAACTTCAATAAATGAAACCCTCTAGAATGAACAGTTAAAAATGGTAACTGATTGTTAAGGTTTACAGCTCTTGTACATAAATCTTTCGAAACTATTAGCCGAAACGGAAGAAAAGCTAGAGATTGCGTATGTTCGTCGTAGTCCAACGCCAGCTATTAAAGTGTTTAATGGTGAAAAGGCGAATAAATACGTTTATAATTGCAAGAGCTGCAGAGAAAAAACCTCGCTAGCGGTTGTTGTTATTGTTGTAGTTAAAGAATCAAAGAATGAAGTTTGAAAAAAAAAAACTACATATATAAAACATTACACACAAAAACATAGTTTTAAACGGCACACAACAAAACACCAAACGAAAAAAAAAATGAATGATCGGTACAATATTTTGCCATGTATTATGGGCATACGCTGCACGCATTGCAATCTTTCCTCTGATGTTGCAAATAATATGCATATCATCTTGGTAAGCTCAAGTAAGTCTTTCTACAGCAAACTTGTAAAAATCACCGCTTCAATGGACACAGACATATTTCATACTGACATCAGGTGTTTTTTATGCTGCATTCATCAGTCAATCGATGAGCGTTTTAACAGAAATAACGATTTCAAATCATCATCATTTTTTTTCTGCCGTTGTTTTCTGTTTTCAATGGAATAAATGGAATAGTTGAACTTTCATAAATACACGTAACAAAGAAATGTACAGAAATTCTTTGTTTGCTCTTAAAATACGTATATATGCATTGATTATTGCACGGCTCGCGCCATTCGCAAATCAACTTGCGCAAATCATCAATTCAATCAATTTACACTCGAATCAAGTGAATTTCAATCAACATTGATCGTTTTTTTATATCATCAAATACTTGGTTTTGAGAGATCTGTCGAGTCTGCGGCTGCTGCTTTTATAAGTGCCAATAATAACAGCGGGAGCTCTTAATGGAAAATCGTTTAAAGTCGATCAAAGAAAACACTTTCTACGCTTTGGATGCACAATAACAAGTTTTGCGATGTTGGTTTGTTTGAAGGAGGTTCAATGTGGTGATATTCCTGGGCTCAGTCGCATCAAATGTAGAAATTGACAAGATCCAACAGGGTTCGAATTGAGTGCTTGCAAAAACCATTCAGGCTTAACTGCCATTCATAGGGAAATGTTTCCTTTCAAACATCAACACTCTGATTTTAATATCGTTCATCGATAGTAAAGCAACAGAAATAAATGTCGTTGACAGACTGAAGCGGCTGTTTCAGTTTACAAATTATTCATGAATTTATTTCAGTCACTTTTCAACATTTCCGTTCGAGATTTTACTTATAATCGCTTTTTTGTGAATTTCGCCTTCTCCATTCTCATATGTATTTATTCTTTTGCGCTTTTCATTCAAGTTCATTATATATAACATGTGTAACAAACTGTCTGGTAAGTCTTATTTATGCCGTTATTTAGTTACTTCTTTTTATCAAAATTTAAAATAATTGACTTATCGCCGTCTCAACAAAACGGTATCAGTGACTCGTTGTACTGCTGAGAATAAAACACATTTAATTTATGCGTAATACAACCGCGAAATTTCTGCACCATTTTGCGTTAAATAAAAAACAAATTAGCATATGGATGATATTTCGTTTCCGCCGCTATGCAGTCAACAGAATGTTGACCAACAAATTGAAGCCAATCTTTATTATTGTCGCTAAATTTTCCGCTCACCAAAACTAGAACGTTTAATCCAATCGATTCACGATGAACACTGGAACTGAATATTTTCAAGCATTTCATTTTCCGCATTCAATATTGATTTTATCTTTAAGGGACAAGATCTAAGCCAATTTGTATGAATAAGTAGAGGCAAATGGGTTCTAATTGCGTCGTCACTTTGAATCAGAATATTAACGCAAAACCGTTCCCTCTTTTTACATTGAAGTGAATGTAGGGATGAGCAATTTTTTTTCTTTCTCACATTCTTTTCTTTATCTCAAAATGTTTCTGTTCGTAGTAAAAATAGCCACTCACTCAATCATATAAACAATTATTTGTTTATACGTCAACAAGATTAATTTAAAAAAAATTAGTTCCCAGCGATTGTTGTCGAAAGTAAGTTATGTTTGCTCTGAAAATCACATCGTTATTTATTTAATGCCAAACATTTTTCAAGATTCAATACGGCTGCTTTTTCTTCACTTAGTAGCCTTTTGCAAAGAAGTCAAACGAATAGAGAAAACCATCCGATTCTGAACTTAATTCGAATTGCAAGAAATAAGATTGCAATCGGGTTGTTTGGAAATTCGCACTATGTGAGGAACAGTATAAATCTTCCAAAATATGTGAATTTGCATTTATATTGCCGCAAATTTGCTCAGAGACAGCAGAAGCTATTGATATGTCAGAATAATTCATTTGATTCATCTAGAAAACTCGTTTGCATATAGTATCAAATGCGATCAAAATATTTCAACGGAACGGTTTTTCTTTTGTGCGATCAGATCGTTGAGTGAAACTGTACTCGTTATAGATGTTGTACGAAAAGAATTGAAGTATCTCGACCAGAGAATCGTTTCAGCATAGATATTCAATTTTCTGATGAGATCTCAGTAACTGAATGCAGTGACTGCGAACGTCGCTGTGAGTGAACAAACGCTCTACATTCAAGCGCGGACATACATTGGTTTACACATAATCCGAGTGAGTGTGCGTGTGAAAGAAGAGAAGAGAGGAGAGACGAACGAAATGTGCTGCATCGAGCGATGTCCACTTGACACAGTGTCAGTGTGGCGAATACTTACCATTTGTTTCTTGGAATTGTTGTTCCTTCTTCTTTTTCTTCTAACAAATTGGTTGGCAGCACAAACACAAGCAAAAAAAAATCACATTAAAAAAATAAACAAAACAATATTTGATTTTGAATAATAAAAAAAAAAACAAAGTTTTTGTTTAAATTTTTAACCTTTTTGTCACTTTAATGATTATATCGATCGGCGATACAATTGTTTCGATAGCTCAAGCTATCATCATCAGT